TCAGAAGTCAGGTTTACCCTCAAATTGGCAAAAAACATTTTCATTCCTCTATACCAGGGGAGGGCAATTAATTTCCCCACAGTTCCACATGAGATACTGGGATTGTTAACAGTAGTGGGATTCAAAATAATTTACCAGTTCTGTGGCATGGCTTGGTGGCAGTGGCAGGGGAAGGATACTGCAAAATCTCCATTCCCTCCCGATCAGTTGGGACTCAGGAGGCAAAGAATAGATGGGGGCAGGGCCAGTCAGAGGTGGTATTTACCGATTCTCCGAACTACTCAAACTTTCCACTACCAGTTCTTCAGAACTGGCCAGAACCTGTTGAATACCACCTCTGGATTGTTACTGAGGGCTACATTCCCCCCCCCCCATACACACACACACAATGTGGGCCAGACAGGGACAATCAAACCTGGCATTTTCTGCAGCCAGAAAATGCCAGGTCTGCTATTTAGAGATGCGTGTTTCTCCCTGTATTATTTCAGTTCACATTAATCCTTAGTATTCAGCTTTTCACACAATACAAACATTTGATCTCTGTGGATTTTCATTCAATTCATTGGAGAAGAGAATCCTTCCACATTAAGCCAGGGACAATTTAGGCAAGAGATCCTTTTGTTGGGACAGGGTACCAGAAAGTATTAGTGGAATCCTCAGGTATCCTGGTGCCCGATTAAAAGGAAATATGAAATTGCTGTTTCCTGCATTAAAGATAACCTACTTACATTAATTCCCACAATGCGTTATGTCAGAGCCATTCTCCTAAAATGACTTTCCTGTCTACTGGAACAATGAATTCATACAGCATCCAGATATGAAAACAAAAGGGATTCAGAGCTCTTTACTCCTGTTTTCTTGACCTTTAGTTGTATCAAGTTTGTTTAAATAAATATAAGGATGAAAAATAATGGCAGAGATAAGGGAGAGAGAGGGGGGGAGGGAGGGAGGGAGGGAGATTTTAGATATTTAAATAAACAATTATATGTTGATGAATTTCCAACAGGCAAAAAATTTCCTGATCACACTGACAAAAATTAAAAGAAATGCAAATCAGACTGCCTCCAACTAGCATCTCCCCCCCCCCAATTACATATAAAATATATATCAAACTTTGCAAGAAAAAAGTCTTTCAGATCCTTCCAGCTGAATGTATACTCAAGCATGGTATCCAAGAATTAAACCGCTGTCTGTAACAGTGTTTTTCAGCCTTAGCAACTTTAAATTGTCTGGATTTCAAATCCCAGAATTCCCCAGCCAGCATGCTGTCAAAATTGAGAAACACTGGTCTATAAACCTGATGAATACTGTCTCGGACAGAGATAATTTTACTCTTTCTTGCATTTTCTACATAGAACGGGGAATATAAGGTCAGCTAGCACAATCATACAGCCGGGCATGGTTAAAAAGGAGGCATGCTTGGAATTACAGTTAAGCAACATCTGCATAGCCATACGTTTCCCATTTTGCTATGTCATGTCAAATAAAAAGTCTCTGTTTCATCTGTAAATTGAACGTATGCCATTACTTTCAACTAAAATAAAACAAAACATAAATCAACTTTTAGCCAGATGACCAAGAAATACCAATTAATAGCCCTTAAAGAACAGAGGAATAAAGAAACGAACACAACATCATATATTGATCAACCAGTAGCGTTGCTCACCAAAAAGATATTCAATCAAGGAAGAATTAGGAAATGTGGTTTTGATTAGGATTGCCATTCCTAAAGATGTAGTGGTGAAGCACAATGTCACGTTTCCGCATCCTTTAGCACAGGGGTTTCAAACACAAGGCTCGTGGGCTGGATTTGGCCCACAGGATGCTTAGATCAGACCTGCGGGGCCATCCCGGGAACAATGAAGGATCGGCTCACAGTCTGCCAGCAAAAATGGAGCTCGGGAGGGCTATGTGCGGCCCTCCCGAACTCTGTTTTCGATCCTCCCAAGCTCCGTTTTCGCTGGCAGAGCACTTGGGCTACCATAGGCACCCAGAACATGAGTGATGTCATGCTGGCCATACACCCCCAGGTCAAACACAACCCTGATGCAGACCTCAATGAAATTGAGTTTGACACCCTGACTTAGCAACAAAGAATCACAGCTTCTGTTGTAACCCCAAGATGTGAGGGTTATTAGATAGGAAACAATGGGGACCCCAAACAAAAAATGTGGGGGATGCATTTGAGCCTGAGGGAGAGATGCCGCAGCACTCCATGAGTGCAGGAAAGCCAGAGGGACTTGCTGCTAGTTTTCCCATTGACTTTGCTTATGGGAAACTGGCAAGAAAAAGTTGCAAATGGCGACCAGAAGACTGCAGGACGCTGCAACCAACATAAATGCTTGCCAAGCACCTGAATTGCAATCACGTGTCTGCGGGGATGCTATGATAGCTGGAACTTTAAGGGCCAGTTTTAAGAACCATTCATTCAGCACTGTCATAACTTCAAATGATTACTAAACATTGATAAATGATTGGGCTGCGGTGGTACATACAGTGGTTAGAGGCAAGTACTGCAGGCTACTTCTGCTGCCAGCAGTTTGGCAGATCGAATCTCACCAGGCTCAAGGTTGACTCAGCCTTCCCTCCTTCGGAGGTCAGTAAAATGAGGACCCAGATTGTTGGAGGCAATATGCTGACTCTGTAAACCGTTTAAGTCTAAGTGCTATTGCTAAATGAGGACTATCTGTAAATGGAACATAATAGGAATTACATTTGACGAATTCTGTAGCATCACTACTTCGATTTGTTGATTTGTTTTAAAAAGAGGATCAATGCAACGGTCAGCCAACCACACACCAAAAATCAGTCAGTTTATTTAAACAGTCTACAGATCATAAAAACACATATTGTTTTAAAATCTAAGAATACATAATTCTCTTAAAAATATAACCCTCAACGTCCTTAACACAAGTTAACATAAATTTACTTCCTTAAGCTAGTAACACCAAACAGGAGCTTTGCTGAAGTCCCTTTAGGAATCTGATCACAGATATTTAACGTAAAATTGATTTGAAATCCAGAAAAAAATGTTGAAAATATGATTTACTGATTTGCATTATGGAGATGTTTTATGGAAGTATATAAATTTAAACTTCAGTTCTGGCTAAAATTGTGTTGTGTTACTGTTGTTTTTCTGTATCACTCTTCTACTCAGAGAAGGAAAAAAACAGTTTACAACAAAACAGTAGTAACAGTTACAATGGGGGGGGGGGTTGCCACAGAGAAGGCTTTCTTCCTGTAAATCATATCTAGCAATAGCAATAGCACTTAGACTTATATACCAGTTCACAGTGCTTTACAACCCTCTATGCGGTTTACAGAATCAGCATATTTCCCCCAACAATCTGGGGCCTCATTTTACCAACCTCAGAAGAAGGATGAGTGAGCCTAGTGAGATTTGAACTGCCAAATTGCAGGCAGCCGGCAGGCAGCAGAAGTAGCCTGCAGTATTGCACTCTAAACATTGCGCCACTGTGGCCAATGAGATACACATGGTGGGCCCCTAACTCTTCCCACCCAATCTTTATTAAATTTATATCCCATCTTTTAAAAAGGCGCTAAAGGCAACATATATGCTTATCCTCCTACATATCCCCATAGCAATTAGGGGTGTAGTAGGAAGGGTGGGAGAGGAGAGTGTGTGAGTATCTTCCATGAGATTATGTGGCTGAAGTTCTTCTAGAAATAGCTTAACTTGTTGTAAGCTATCCAGAGTTGTTTGTTTTATGTGGTGGGAGGTCATATAAATTAGATCAATCAATCAATCAAACAAACAAACAAACAAACTAATCTTTCTGCTTTCCTAAACTAGTTCAACAATTTAACAGCTTTAACTCCTTAGTTATATTCCTATAACACTTTGGCTCTATTCTCTATTCCAGCTGCCATTTTTGGATTACTGCTTGGACAGACGTCACATAAATTAATCTAACAAGGAGGCTATTAGGGAGTTTCTAGGGCAGTGATGGCTAACCTTTTTGTCCTCGCGTGCCGAAATCGCACATGCCCCCCCCCGCCCCCCATGGCCCGTTTTGGGCCTAGCAGGCCCCCCTGAAGCCTCCTTGGATGAAAAACGGGGCACAGTAGGGTGCCCCACACCACCGTGGCCGTTTTGGGCCTAGCAAACTTTCCTGAAGCCTCCTGGGCCTCGGGTGCCGGCAGAGAGGGCTCTGTGTGCCACCTGTGGCAAGCGTGCCATAGGCTTGCCATTACAGTTCTAGGTATCCTGGTCCAGATAGTGCATAAGCCATGGGATACAAGCATTTCTTGTCCCTAAGGCCCAATTTTGGCAGAAATGTTACCTCTTCCAGGAGAGGATAATTCCCAGGCCTGAGCAGCAACTAACGTTAAGGAACTCCATTTCTTTTTATTCTATTTCCTCCAGACAACTGCCAAATATCTGCATAGCTATTTTTGACTCTGGTGGAAACCAATGCTAGGTTAAGTGACCAGCCAACTGGTCACTCTGTACTCCAGATATCCAATGGCAGCCCTCAGCAACTGAGGCAACATAAAACCCTAAATGACCCCAGAATGCAACTGCTCTTGGGTTACAAATTTACAAGTAAGAATGGAAACACTGCACTGTCATTCCAATTTTCACCTCTTTAAGCCATTCCACCAGTATATATGAAGAAAGGCAATGGGGAAATCACTGTGAATCAACACAATAGTACTTTTTTTTCTCTTTAATCCTGCCAGATAGGATAAGATGTATTTCCCTCTGGAACGAGCTCCCTGTTGAGATCCGGACCCTTACTACCCTCCCAGCCTTCCGCA